TTTTAAAAAATAATAATAAAATAATATTAATATAATTATTTATTTTTTTAAAAAAAATAAAATTAAATTATTTTTTTTATAAAAATAACAATAGTTATTTATAAGTATTTTAAATTTTAATTATAATTAATAATTTTATTTACAAACTTTAAAATTTTAAAAATTAAAACTTTTATTAATTAATTATATATAAAATATTTAAAACTTATTTTAAATAAAAACTTTATAAAATAAAAATTTTTAAATTTAAAATATTTTTAATATTTAATTTTAATTTTATAAATAACAGTTTAATAAATAAATAAAATTTTAAAATATATTATTATTTTAAATTTATTAAAAATATATAAAAATAAAATTAAATTATTATAATTTTTAATAAATTTATATATTTAAAAATAAATAAATTTAAGTTTATAACTTATTAAAAACAATATATGTAATCTTATTAAATTATTTAAAAATTTAAATTATTAATATAGTTTTTAGGGGATGAAGGGGTTTTATATACACGGGAGGCATGTGGATCGTAAATATTCCAGCCTATTAATTCTGACACCATGTCCATACTGCGGTATAAAACGCTTTCTCAACGCTGCTACCATGGAGCTTCTTGTGCTCGATGAATCGCTGCATAAGCTGCGGAAAGCGACTATGAATCACGATTCGAGTGCTTAGGGCATCACTTTGCACTGTCTCGGGGTCGAAATTCACCACTATTAGACGTAATTGGAGGCTTAACTCCCACAGGTAGGTCTTGGAGGCCAAATGGCGCCATTGTATTAGTCGAAAGATGTAGGACGGCGAGAAGGTCAACTAGTCAACAGGCTGAGTCTTGATGTGACAGAGTGAGAATTTTTCTACACGCAAGATAGTAGCGAGTTCCAGAAGAAAGAGGGAAAAGTAAAAGTGCACTTGATAGATATACTACGAATAAAAATTGCAGCTGAAGGATATGTAATCAAGGCTGCCTAACAGATGCTATGTTGAAGACCTCGGGAGTATCCCGAGCCGCTTAAATGAATAAAAGGTAATTTATTTATATAAACGGTACTGAATGTAGAGTGGTAAATTTAAGAACACAATTCTATGGAAATGCAGGCCACTTTCTCCTGCTCGCCGGTTTTCAATGATTCATATTAGGGAGATCGCCGAAGCATCTGATTTACCGATATCCATCTGAGCCTCTGTTTTTTGTGATATCGGAATGGAGCTAGCGAGAATATCGTTAATTATTGTCAAATGCCGATCCCTCCTATTTTGCTACCTCTCTCGTCAGGGCAGCCGAAGAAGAAGAAACGAGAGAGAAAGAAAAGCGGGGGGGGATGATAATTCATGGTTTCTTTATGCGTCCATAGTCGACAGTTTATTCATGGTTCTCTTGAAACTATCGCCTTGAAGCCATTGCCTTGTGTAAAAAGCGTAGTACTAAAAGTACTACAAGCTGTACCTATCAACAATCGTACCGATATCATTACATGGACCCTGGCGGAATTATTATTCCAGAGCTAGTCCTACATTATAACCCCCACTAATTCATCTTTTAACAGCTATATTACTCCTCCAGTTGCTTGATGCCATCGCCACATCATGCTTTTCTGTAGTCCGCCCAGTGTCTTTTTCGGTCCATACATATAATCTGGGGTTCCGTGGTGCTTTGTCATCTTGAAGCTTCATCTTTTCCGTTCTCATCAAGCCTATTGGCATCATCTTCTTCCCGTTGCCGATTTTCCTCGTGTCAACATATATATCGCCGTGGGCGTTGATCCAATCTGGCCTATCCCCCAAGTAAACTGTGATGTGAAAATCCTCTCCCTTCTGAATGCCTCCTGTTTTGTAAGCTGTTATGGTATCGCGCCTAGTTTTCCAATCATGTGCAAAGGCCCTAGATAGAAATCTTATTAGACAGATTAAAGAGCGGTAGACCCCGGACAGTTTCACCTAATCCAGATGTGTGTGAAGCCTAGATCCTTGCATATTTGCCGAACGAACTCATTGAACTCGTTCAGCTCAGCTCCCTTAAATTGAACTGAGCACCTGTATAGAATCTGTTACTGGCTTAGCGGACCAAATTCGAAGTCTCCGTCCAACTAGACTTACACGTGGGTCATCTTTTGTGCCTGTGCCAAAACTTGCCGTGCTGGCTATGGTTACCCCATCTCCGTCCAACGGTAAACGCGCACCGGGAGCTGGGTTCCATTCGAGGTTATGGTTACATTGAGGGCTCATACCAGATTCGTGTCACAAGTAGGACAGCAACTACAAGCCGAGTCTACAATCATCAAGAGAAATCCTCTCTCGGGGCCGGATTGCGATACAAAGCAGCGACAGGGTCTTTATACTCCTACCGGGAGATTGAGCTGTACCGCAATCGTACATTGGATAAAAGGACCCTGTACTCCCTTTGTAGATAGTTCATTATACCCCTGGAGATATCGACATCATAGTCGTTAATCAAGGACAAGGCTTATCAATAGCAAGTCAACCAGTGAAAGGCAACGATAATATATACAACAACATCAAAATTACTTGAATAATGACATCGCTATCTGCTAAAACGAGGCTAGACGTAAATTTCCTAAATGTAGCGAGGTTGCTATGATGCTCTTCTAGAACTCTTTAATCTCACGGTATCTACGCTGCTTTGTACTTACTTCCATTGAATAGCCCAGAGAATATAGTATAAAATATGCAAAATTATTTAGTTATAAATGAACTGCGTTTATCCCAATCGAAATTGACGTGACAAAATCTTGGATATTCGACTCTTCTTGCGGTTCTCTGATCGGTCAACAGCCCCATAATACAATGAAGGATATAAGGATAGGCATAAATACACTCAAACAGAGAAGCATTTGCCCAGGTGGAATCGGAAACAGTGCTTGAGTGCGTCTGTTTCGAGTATCTACTCGATTCTTCATATTGGTCTTTGACTTCAACGCCTGTGCTTCTTCACCAACTGAATGTAAGCCCCTGCCCTCAGAACATAAGACGTGATCGAATGGCTCTTCTGTGTTGTATGCCTCGTCGGTATCAAATTGTCCATCTTCCAACCCCATTTTGAACCAAGGATGCTTAAGTACGCCAGATGTACTCAATCTCTCACCAGGTTTGTACTTTAACATCCTTCTTAGAAGATCTGCAAGTCTCGTGAGTTCATGCGCAGGAATTCGATACGGCATCATCTTTATAGCGATTTCTTCTTCGTTCATATTCTCTTCTTTGGGCACAACCACTTTTTCATAGAGCTCCCGTCCTAATACGTCTTCAATGCCATCTGACGAATTATTCGTATCGCTGTAAGATGCGCGTTCTCCTTGAGACGCATCCCAGAAGAGTGAAGTGAGTGACCGTGTGCTGTTTAGCATCTCCTCACTCAGGGGCTGTGGTTTCGTCATCCCTTTTTCGCCATACGCCTCGTACTCAAGAACCTCGTCTTGATACATTTCCTTTGCTGCTAGAGATCGATAAGGAGGTGGTATTGGCCCTGCGAAACTCTCCATCCGGTTTAATGGACTATTAGGAATCTCACCGAGCTTCAATCCCGTCCGGACCTCGATTAGGGTAAGAGCTAGTGACCACACGTCACTTTCCGTTCCCACCGGTTCTTCGCCATATGTAACTTCGGGGCTAGCATATGTGCGAGGAATGCCTAGAAATTTTGGGATCTTGGTTACTTCGAAGGCCTCTCCGAAATCAACAATAGCAGCACTATCTAACACTAGACCCTCCAATTCAAACCATCTTAATGGCTCGACCACCCAATTTGGCGCATCTGAACTATGACTTCCATCTAAGGTTTGTACCTCATGCCGACGAGGAAGACTGATGATTCCAAATAGATCGTCAGGATCGAGATGATCGAGACCCCCGTCCGCTAGGCGCATTAGTATATTTTGAGGTCGGAAATCCGCGTGGCAAATGCCATGCTCGTGTAGGAAATCGAGACCTTCAGTGATCTCGTAGCAGACTTTGTTTATCCGCGCAGCGCTTAATCCCAGGGTAATACACCGCCAGTGCTGGACGGTTGGGCCCAAAACGGGAAGAACTGAGCATAAATGCTTGCCATTGGGACCCTTGATCCAGAACGTCTCCTCCGCTAGGATAATGTGATGCATCTCGAGTTGCCGGGCTGTGACTGCTTTTTCTTCAAAAAACTGGCCAATTCTGAGCTCTGCGCTGTCCTCAGACGATTCCGATGCTGCATTTATCTTTATAGCCCTCCATCGTTTCCGAGCGGCCTCGTAGCATAGCCAGACTGTCGAGATTCCGCCACTACCAAGCTTGTGGCACACTTCGAACCTCCCGTCCAGAATGTCCAAAATATCGACCGGATGCAGACCCCCTTCACGGTACCCCTCTAAGTCCTCGATGCCATCTACCCCGTAAGGTTGAATATACTTCTGCTTATGAGGGTTTTCGGAGTGGTCGAGACCCGACTCGTGGATAATTCCCTGATCAAAGCGACAAGGTTTTTCTTTCGGAGAGGCCATTTTGAAATTATGCATCAGATGTAGAATCAAGACAAGATGTCTGACGAAAAGCATCCAAAAGATCGCCCATGCCCGTATTTAAATATAATGCTGAGCGAGCACAGTTTGGAAGTCTACATTGTTGAATAGACATAACGAACCCATTGGGATTTTAAATCAAACAAAGGTGTTTAGATGTGCGCTTCTGTGTTAGGTTGGTTTCTTTGTCCATAGCACTGGAAAACAGAAGTGGAGAAGTAAGAGCAGACAAAACAAAAGAATCATAGTCATCGTTTTTCACTATAATGTATCGCATCCCTTGTAACATAATTCAGGTGAGTAGGTAAGGTAGGTACTAATATTATTGATCTTTTCCTCCGCCGACTATACCCTCTTTATTTGTAGATCTTGTTCAATTATTAGATGAAGCTCGCAGTAATCCAGCCGCCTTAAAAAAGATCCATTCCACAGCAAACAAGAGATTAATGCAGAGACCAGAATAGAAAATAGCCCAAAAAATACGAGATCTGGTCAGTATGGGGGTCGAACCCATGACCTTCGCATTACTTGATGCAGTGAGACACTGTATTAGTACGACCCTCTAACCAACTGAGGTAACCGACCGTTGAGACGTAGTCCTGCTCTTTTATTTGCTCTGAGATAGGATCATTTGGGCACAGGCAGATAAATGGGGGCGGGAAGAGGGGCAAAAGGATTGTCGCGGTGCATAAGTACTTGCTTAATATAAGTTGTCAACCATCCCCCCCGAGAGCGGTTACAATTCTACTTTCTACGGAGGTCAGGGCCAAATAAACCCATCGATCTTGGGACGATCTCATCTAGTGCAATCCTTCAAAAAGCTACTCACAACAACCAGGTCTGCGATATGCCAGGCAGAGATGGCTTATTGGGCCACAAGGTGACAGCAGCCAGCAGGGGAGATATTAATCTTCAATAAGCCCATCCCTAGTGCAAAGACTGCTATGCTGCGGTCTGTGCAGTCATATCTACCGTCTCTGAAGCGGTCTTTGTTTTCTCGGTTTGCCTCCGGCTGTACCTGACCTTGAAGAGTCACATGTATTTGACATTGTGAAAGACGAGTCCATACACTGAAAGCTGTCTGTAGTGACTGTTTTGGCCAATGAGCAATTGGCGATGGTGTAGCCAGCTAAATGATAAGGGCAGTTCATTTGTAGCTCGGTGTATGATTTAATGATGAGTTGGTAAAAATAAGCTAGTTCCATCTTTTAGACACCCACAATGAAACATATTCAAAGTTATAGCTGTGTTATCACGTATAATGCAAGGCCTATATTGGGGTACTCTTCGAATTGTGTGTACTGTGACTACCTATATAGGTATCTAACAAGATCCTTTAGGGCAAAGTTGATGAGAATAGAGTAAAACACGAACAACGAACAATACTAACTTTCATTGCTATTAGAAGAACAAGTTAAGAACGCCCTTGCCGCAGAATAGCCCTTATCATACTATATGAGTTCTTCTTTAATTTTCTTCTGCTTGCGACGTCCCCTAGCCGCGTTGGGGAGTACGTCATGGGCATCAACATATGAGTCTTTCTGGTGACACTCTACAGCACTTCATCCCGCCACTGGTATTAACACGAGATTCTTATCGCACTTATATCTCGGAGGTGTCAGTAGCTTTGATTTTGTTCCATCGCTCTTGGTACTCCAGCACGTCTTCCAATAGGGATAGAGGGTCCAGCTCTTCTCGCGACAGCGCGTGCCTGTTTATGTAGTCGTGGAGGTACATGTAGGACGTCCACAGGGTCAATGGAACCGCTGGCGGCCGATTAGTGAGTGTCGTCGGTGTGCCAGGTTGGGGATTCATCGTCTTCTATGTTGAGTATATCATCTATGTACTTTTTCCCTCTCAACATGCGACGGACCTGAGCTTCCTGCTTCGATGGCCATGTTGATGTGGGGGGAGGCAGAGCGTCGCTCCGGCCCAAGCATCTCGTGAGTCTCTTAAGTTCAACTTTCTTGATGAGGTTTTGTTGAATTTTTCTGCGCTGTCGTGCAGTAAAACCTCGTGGCTTTCTATCTTTTTTTCGCACACTGAATGATAAAGTTTGCAGAGCAGTAACGTCTTGTGCTCCGGCTTGATCCAGTTTCCTTGTTTTCCTGGCAGCCCTTTGCGGCTGATGACGTGTCGGTTCACTGCGAGAATCTTTCAGTGCTTGGTACATGGACGTCTCCTGACTCATTATGGTGGTACAACATTCTCCCCCTCTCCTTGTAGCCCTTGGGCCTTTCTGACTTCTGGAAGTGGTTATTAAAATTGGGCGAACTTGGTAAAAGGGGGTGCTGACTCATTATAGGCCCTTTATCTCGTCTAATGCACTGAAGGGTTTCCAAACGGCTGTCAGTTATTCTATTATGCGACAACGTAATACAATAATCACAAGTGGTGGATTACCTAATTTGGTTATATTTGGTTATATTTGGTTAGAGCGTCGTACTAATACAGTGTGTCACTGCATCAAGTAATGCGAAGGTCATGGGTTCGACCCCCATACTGACCACAATCATCTTATTTTATCAAAATATGTTTTTATTTTTTAGATTTTATATCTATTGAATTTAACTGTGTAGCTATTACTAACTCTATTGTATATATATAACTGGGTGCAAGGAAAGGGCAAGCGTCGCGCACTAGACGTCTTGATAAGAGTTAAACCATTATATCTATTAAATTTATTTAACATATATTCATTCTCTTTCTTTTTTCCCCTGTCATATTATCTTCCTCTATGGCGCTGTAAATGTTGTTAAAATAACAGCTACGGCTTATGTAGTTCCTGTCTACAACTGACGGGAAAGAATGAGTCAGCAGTCTGGACACCACGACACGGCCCGGTGCCAATGTTACGTGCAGTTCGCTTCTAATCTTGGTAGGGTCGGTCCATCTTGAAGCACTATGTTGAATCGTTTTCTTCCTTGTAATCATAGCGTTATTCTCTCTGTCATAGTTTTTCAATGGTCCGACTCGACCCATACCATACTCTCACTGCCTCTGACCTGACTGCGGTAGGACGATGAAATATCGCGATGATTCGAGATATACCATGGAAATTTTCCAGAAGAGACTCACCGTGTCATTAGCCTGTACTCTGGGCATATTCTTGGTCTCGACGGTCATGCTAGTAACAGAGGTATACGTACTTCTTGCGACCCAGTTATGTGAACATGAAGATCTCATGTCGTTATATGGGTGACATGGACAACTTTACAGCTAGGCTCAGAATTGCCATTTTAGGAGTGACCTTAGCGTTGTAGTATCACTTGTGGGATATGGAACATCTGTGAGTCTCTTGATCCCGGCAAGACTACATTCCATCATTTGCACTCTTTCCAGGATTTGGGGTCTTGTATTAGGGACTCCTGTTCGTGAGTATTCCTTAAATTCATCTATAGTGGCCATTCGCCGAGTAGACGGATGCTCCGGTTGGCGCCAAATTCATATCTCCAAGTTCCTTGACAACGCTAAAACCCTATAATTTATGCGACGATCAAGTTAACACTGACTACCTTTGAGTATCGCAGTGGTAGTAGCAGGCTTCGGCCACCTACTTTCTTTTGTGCTCCACCGTTTTTACTACAAGGCTAAAGCTAGAACGCGCTCGAACACATTGTACAATACTTCGTATTCGTCTTTTCCGTCAGCAACCCTTCCACGGCGGCTTGGGTCATACTGTGCAGTCATATACAAGACCCCCAGAAGCGACATCATAGGTATTATAGCACTACCGTCGAGACGATACGAGTACAAACTACAAGCAACGCTAATAGCGTACTAGATCTGAAACTTGAGCAGGAAATGTACTTCGCGGTAGAGATGGCTGATGATGAACACGTGCGCCAATGGTCATGTTTTGTCTATGTAGCAGATGACAAAGCGGCCGTCGGAATGACTGCTGTGCCGGACCCATTTATGACATCAACTGAAGTGTTGGATCCAACCAATTGACGATGTGTTCTTTGCGAAGAACAATAAAAAGTTCTGTTACTAATCATAGATAGAAAGACGGGGCAGCCAAGTACCTACCCTTGGAAATGTTTATACGCCTCCCGGGTATGGTAAAGCTTGACTATACCGTAAAAGAAGAGGAGATACGGCATCACGATGTAAAAATCGTCTTAGATCGAGCATTATCTTCAAATAGCTGTCGAAATATCATTTGATTCATACACCTACTGTATCCTTATCGCAAGGTTTAGCGGGCTAGGCAGACCCCTATAGGTTAAAATTCTGCTGAGCAAAGCCGAATAGAAGAGAAAAATATCAAACTGAGAAGTTTGATATATAGCAGTGTCTCACTTAATATGTCAATCTAGTGCCCGATGTTCAGGGGTCAAAAGCGTGTACCCACTCAAGGCTCGTTACATCATCCACAAGCCCATACTTTGCGGCCAGATCCGCCTTCAGTCAGCCGGTATAATCAGATTCCTATGTCCTCCTTGGCGTCTTTCCAACGTACCCTCAACATGTAACCAGAGACAGCCGTAAGCTGACTTTGGGGAATTACCAAGACAACTGTACTGTTCCGGCTTGCCTACGGCGGGGGCATGGCGGAACCTGAGGTCTAGGCCCCCAAAGGTTTGAAACTGATTTGTCTAGGCTGATCCATCGGTGGAGAGACATTGATTATTGAGTGCTTCGCGTTGTCTTGAGACTACCGCATTCACATGCCTTATCAATAATGCCACATCGTTCTTCCGTATGGTATAGATGCTGGATACCTAGGTTGACGCAATGGTACCGATGCCACTACGGTAGTCAATAAGAGCTTCCATCATCCCTTTTCTACGGTTCTTACAGGAAAGAGACGCCACAGAACAATCAGCCACTGCATATTGACCCCATTTACAGGTGTTCAGCGGCTTTCATCCTAAGGAAGATTCTTCATCAGCAATCTAGTCATCTAGTATACCTAGTGTGTAAGTGCGCCGCCAAGTCATAGCTGTAGTCACTCTATATATAACACGCTGAGGGATATGCAGAACAGTTACAAGTGGACAATTTTTTTCATTCAATTTTTTTTTTTTTTTTTTTTTTGGATTTATTCGGTTAGTCACTACACGCGCCCGGCTCGGCCGACCTGTAATATTTCTCCGGTGCGTTGGTCGTCGCTTCGGAGCACTGGCCAGCTTGCGCCATCCGCCTTATACAAGCTAACCTCGAGCTTCGTGCCGAGAATCTTAAAGGTGGACTTTTGTGTGTCGACCTCACCAAACAGCGGGACGGACGCCTTGTAGCGTTTTGGCGTGGGCTCATTCGTTGGCAGGTCCAGCTCCAGATTAGTAGGATGAAACTCAACTTTCGCTTTCGTGCTGTCGATCTTCTTCAGAAAGAAGGACGCTATGACCGTGGTAGGCGTCTGGTAGAAATCGTGGCGCACCGTGTCCAGTAGCTCCTCGCCGGCGCCTTGGTGGTTCTTCTTGGTCTTGTCTTGGCCGGACCCGATGAACAAGTGTCGCGGCGACGTCTTGCAGCCCTCGATCTTCATGAAGTGGTCGAACTCCAGCACGCGACGCTTGCAGCAGCTGTAGCCCTTGCTGCCCTCGTGGAAGATGGGCGCACCTGGGTGGTGGACGCAG